GTCCGTGTGACTGTAGGTATTTATTTCTTGCGGTAGAGAGTGCTGGGGGTTTCTCGTTCTATTCGCGTTGACATGTGCGTTGTACTAGTATATATAGGTGCTTTTTTATTATTCTTATTGTATATTGTAGAAATGTCTTTGTCTCATTTTCGGTACGTACCATTGTTTGAATCACTCTTAGGATGCTTATGGGATACCAAGGCAAAACAAGTACCTTAAAAGTCCTAGAAACAGGGGATGATGGTCTGGATGGGTTGAACTACTCCTTTAGCGATGGAGCGGTACAGTATGCCTTCGCCAAGGTTACGGACACCAAGACAAACCTGCCGAAGTTCGTGTTCATCTCATACGTATGTATGGAAAAGTGAGCCGTGTGTATCTTTGTTAAATCGGTGTCTTGACCCCAGCAATTGGGGTACCAAGTGTAAAAGTACGAAACTAGGACTGTTCCGTGTGCGTGTCTGGGAGCCCTGGCTTTCACCGAATCATGACTGTAGTGACACTGAGTTCAGTTTAGGGTTTAAAATATACCTGGATGCGAAGTGAAACGACAACGGGAGGTGTTGCAATAGTGTCGCAGTAGTCGCCAGCTCTTACACTGAACGGTGTGACAGCCTATCTGTTGCCTGTCTGTGTATGAGTGCTCCACCGGTAATCACACCACCACGCGTGCCTGGAACAAGGGATTCGCTGGAGAGAAACTGTTCAATCTTTTTTTTTTGTCGCTCTCACTGTACATCAAAATAGAATATACATAAATTATTTTTTTTTGTATTTTGGAACTTGAGTGATCGGGTTTATATCAAGCGATCCGACCATGTCCATTATGTTCTTTCGTACTGGCGGCCAGCAAGGTTGTGAATTCGGCGGTCTTGTGAGTCTGCACTGGGAGTGTACACTCACATGTGTATATTTCAATGTATGTGGTGGTGTTACGAACTATTACTTCTTGAGTGATTTCATTCCCGCCTCGCATCGATGTTGTGTGCATGAGTTTTAGTTTGAACGTATCGAAGCATACCATGTGAATGTCGTGCATACATACATGAGTCTTTAGATAGATATTCAACTAGCGAGTACAATGTGATGCAACCAGACGAATGCACATATGCCGAACCGAGAATCTGTGCATACGTTTATTTTTGTACATGCAACGATATATCACACATAACCATGTATGTGCAGTAAAGTATAACGGTCCATTCACAGGCACATATGGCACATAGATTATGAGATACCCGTATCATGTCTTGACCATTTGCGCATGCTCCGTGCACCCACAACCAGGCCGGCGAGGGCGCTCAGCAACACCGCAAGGGTGCCATGCACACGCACATGGACGACATCACCAAAGTCCTTCACGGCGCACACGTACAAGTACACGCACGCACAGAGGATGACATAGAACCCGCCAGCATCATGGAGAAAGTGTCCAAGGCATCGGGGTCGTACTACACGGCTCAAACGAGTGGGGTGAATCAGGCCTTTAGTGAGGTGAAGAAACCGAGTGCCGCTTCAAAGGCGTCCGCAAGGCCCACCCCACAGCCGAAGCCTGTGCCGGTATGGTTGTGTGCTATACCCTTCGTGCGCGTGAGAGAGAGTACGTATGGGTATATATGCTTTCCGTGCTCGTGTTTGTACATGCGTGCGTTTACTTTACCTATATATATATATATATATATATATATGTGTGTGTGTGTGTGTGTGTGTGTGTGTGTGTGTGTGTGTGTGTGTGTGTGTGTGTGTGTGTGTGTGTGTATATAT